TCGCATGGATAAGTTGATGAACTAGACACAGCAGATAAATGCTGTCCAGGAGGCTGGAAAGATTCCTTTTACCGATATTATTCCATGACTACATTATCTTGGGGTTTTATAGTTCCATTAGAAAGCAGAACTACGTATGAATTAGAAGGATGTATGAGTTGTATGAATTAGAAAAAGAAAGTTAATTCAGAAGGAAAAAAAGTTGTAAAACGGCAGCTAAATGTCAGTTTTTATTTTTTGAAACAGTAAAGTATCATAAATGTGTAAGTACTTTTCCTCCCATGAAATCCACATTTTTTTCAGTAAACAGTATTTCACTTTACACAATAACCATGCTACACCTGGGAAATCTTTCGGACTTGATTTAAAATGCATGACAGAATTGTATCAGTAAAAAAAGGTAAATGTGCAATATGGTGATTATTTAATTCCACTGAGGCCAGAGAAGGCCTAACAGAATGCCTGTTACATTGCTACCTTTATGGCTCATCAGTTAAACTGAAATTGTTACAAAACTCAGGAGATTCAGTGGCACTGCTAGCTTTTCTTTATATTATTTTAAATTACTTTTAATTGAGGCTTGGTTTTTGGTCTCTTTACTTTTTTCCAATGGCTATACAAATCATTCCTTTGCATTAAATATAACTAATTATTTAACTGAAAAATCACTATTAAAATTTCTTAGAGATGACATTAAAACGCTGACCTCTAAAAACCACCAGTCTACACTTTTCAGTTAAATGAAACATCACCTTTTAAATCTGTTTTCCCAATTACCTACAGCCTTTTTAAGTAGAATAGGTTATTTCTATAATCCAGTCACTTACAACTAATAACACAGCTGCTAATTAAATAGTTCTCCACGTGGCCTAGTTTCCCCACTAACAGTTGTGTGAAGCTAAAATCTTAATATGGACAACAAGCAAGTAACTTCAGAGACATCATTTAGGAGAGTAACAGAATCAATCCTTTTCTGGACTCGCTCCAGCAGTTCAGTATCTCTTGTAGTGAGGAGCCCCGAACTGAACACACGATTCGAGATGCAGCCTCACCAGTGCCAAGTACAGTTATTAGTATTACTTCCCTAAAAAAAAAAAAGGCAAAAAAAAAGCTACAAACCAAATAGATTTTTACAGAATTAAATAGGATAAATATATAAAAGGCAACTATGAAGACTTGGCAGAGCAGCATTAGTTATACTGAGTGATTGGACAGTAAAATGGCAGATGAAATTCCCTATGGATGAATGAAACCCTTACATGCATATCAGGAAAAAATGTAGCAGCTAACTTAATACATCAGTTAGGATGGCTGAATAAGCAGTGGAAGTACATAAAGGGAGAAGTCTTTCTGTTGATAAACTGTACAAGGACTAGGTTTAGCTCATGATGGTATTTTCTGATTTTCTTACAAACTGGTCACTTTCAATATCTTGGGGTTCCAGTGCAATTTCTCTAACTGCCTTCTCTCTCAATTTAATGACACAATCAAAAAAGATGCTTCTTTTTAGTCTCCATCATATTTATTCCAGATTAAAAGAAAAGGGAACAGAATCAATGAACAAGAAGGACTGAAGAATAGGAAGCCATGAACAATTATTTTAGAAGAAACAATGGAAATTTACTGAGGACATAAAATTACATTGGGCAGCTCATGAAGTCATGTCTGAATTCCAGACAGGTACACAAATGTAATTTGCATCCAATGCATTGCTACAGTAGATGGACCAGAGGCTCAGTGCCTCGCTTCATAGGCAGTTCCTTAACAGTTACCCATTGCTGCATACTGCCAACAAAACTGCAGCTGGTTGAGTATTTTACAATGCCAACTACTTATTTAACATTCACCTTTGAAATGCTTGCTCTTGGTTTCAGAATGAACATCCTCTTCGAAATGAAGAAATTTGCATATATCTCTTTGCATATATCATTTAAGGCTTTTGTTGGTAACAGTAAGTTATACTGAGCCATATTTCAAATGTGTCCTCATAAAGTAAGGAGAAGTAAATATTTTAAAGCCAAAACTTCGATTCGGATGATGCATTTGTTGCCAGTTATATTAAGTGAAATACGTGATGATCACACTATAAGTGAAGCCAGGGCAACTGTTTTGAAAAACAACACTCTATTAAACTGAGAACAAAACATTTTAATTCTTTGTTCAGGATTTGGTGCTAAAGAATAACATTGGGTAAAACCACTAGAATCTGTACCACAGTCAGTGCCCAGAAACCATCTACGCTTCATTAAAGGAAAGATTTAACTATTGTATTGAATCCATCTGAATAGCTATCCATCTGAATAGCTTAGCTGAAGGCAAGAAAAAAAAAGCACAATGCTAGAATAGAGTATTAGGAGAATTATGGAGATTATGAAATGATTTACTGTGGTTATGATCCCCAGGTATTTTCTGCAGTGTTCAAAAGAAAATAATTAGGCAAAAGAAGGAAGAGAAATATGAAAAAAAGGATGAACAACATAAAGTGTGTTGCCATGACGCAACATCATTAACATCTACACATACTATCAGGTTCTTGTTATGTCTTTTTTGTCTTCTACAAACACATCCAGGTGAAATCCACCTATATAAGCTAGTAAAATATTAGATAAAGTGTTTAAATGCAACAAAATGGAGACATACGTAGATTTTTATTGAAAAAAAACACAGTATTAGTGCATTCACCATTGGAGGCAAAAAAAAAGCATTTAAATAAAGATATTTTATATAAGATTACCCATCTAATGTATATATCAATTAATCTTCTATCTACCACCTTATTTTTTACCACTGGTAAAAATATAATACACCACATGTAAAATGCAATCCTGACTCAGTCCCTCTATCATGCAAACCTCTGAATTTTAGCTGTCATAACAGCTAGTAGGAATCAGATTCTACCCACCAAACTTTACATCTGACATAGTTCAAAGTGTAGGCTTTTGATCATTACTTGGAGGCATTTCTAAAGAATGATTCATCTGATATAAGGCAGACATCTAAATTAGGTCTGATTAACTGCCCTCAGGATGTTATCTTTTTCCCTTAACTATAAATAGTTTAAACAGTCAACTGAGCAGAAAATACCTGTACCTAGACCTCCTCCTCCTAGACAATATAGAGATAATTATGTCTTAAAAGAGAAAACAACAAACAGAAAAAAACCCACCAAGCCTTTCTAGCAACTGCCATGTCAAAAGTCTGGTTTAACCCATGTGGTTCCTAAACTGTCATATAATAATGCTATAACCACATGCCCAAGCGCATCGTGCAGCCAAGATACTCTAAACAGTGTCAAGATGCAGTCCAAGCAATAATGTTGCAGACTGCCCTATTCAGGTGGTTTTGTTCTGGTCAAGGAAATAAAATGGCAAAAGACAATACAAAGCTATAAAGAGGTGACACACTGCAACTGTTACAAACTTGGACTTGTTAAAATTACGAGCAGATAGAACTTTTCCATTGACAATCTCTTAAATCGCCTCAAAATGAGTACATGGAACAGTTTCTAAGGTGATAAGATGACAATTTTTCCAACGGGACAATTATATTAAAAATGGTTAATACTTCTTCTAACAGTTACAACAGAGAAGCATGAAAATTCCATAAAATTACAGATGAACCCAAGACAACAACAAAAGCTAGAATTTCTGACAGAATCCTCTTAACCCTCGGCCAAAAGAGGACATGAATGCTTTAGTAACAATCAAGGCTTGACTGCCAAACCACACCGATGATCTTCATATGCCTGAAGACTCCTAGTTTTTAGGATTGGCTATCCAGAACATTTAGAATTCTGTATGTCCACAACTTCTGCCAATTTAATTGATTAATGAATTCCAACTTAGGGTCCTCAAAATGACATTTCTTAACATAAATCAGAGGAATGTGATCCAGTAGGTATACTGAGAGGATGTCTAGTGCAGTTAGAACAGAGAGCAGCAATTTCACTAAACCCAGCAAATTTAATAGGTACAATGTTTCATGTACTGCTCAGTTACACGAGTTTTTCTCCAAGCAGGAGACCAATTCAATTCTCTCATCTCATAAGGACTGAAATCTACATCCACCATTTTTCAGCAAAGCAGAAAATAAGTTTCTCCAGGCAACTACCTAGTATGAGGGAACAGGTCCAGTTTCTGTGCCCCCTGCCCCTCCATTGGAATGTTTAAATAGTAGTAATAATATATCAATTCTAAAAACGCAAACATCAGTCCTCCTCTCTTTTACAGAGAAAAATAGTAAGATAGTTCATTCCTCTCCTGGCTCTATTCTTAGAACAAATGACCACACAGTGGACCACTTACAGTGAAGAACAGTTCCATCAGTTCTCTCTGTAAGGCAGCTAAATAGCACATTTTATCAGTAGAGAGATGAGTACCCTCCCCCAACACTGTCAACTCTTTCAAAGAATAATATTAATGGAGAAAAATTAGGTGACTAAGTACAGGGAGACAGTTCCAGGCTACAAATATTGAACTCGTGTAGGTAATTAATTTAGAGGTACTTGATTTTGTTTCTTAAAACATCTGTCCAGTGTTTATAGGTTAAGACAACGTAGTCCAACCTATGCATAATCCCCTCCCTCCCTTGTTGCCTGATGTATATGCTACTCAGCAGCACTTCTCCCTAACACTACATGGGAAAAGTAGACCTCTACCACAACTAGAAGCTAGTTTTGCTGACACCAACCATCACCACAGCTGAATTCTTCCATAGGATTTGTACTGATGAGTGTTCTTCCCTCTTGATAGCCACAGACATTGTCCAGACTGATAGCTAAGTTTGATTTCACTTATCTCAAGGAGATTGTAAAACAAGAAACTCATGTATTTTCCCTAATTTTGTTTTCCCTTTTGATGGAAATATGCGATACAGATATGGAAATTGAGATTAAAGTGATTAGGTTTTAAAGACTCTTTATTAAAGAGGCTATGACATGCCCTCTGTTGCTAGGGCAAACAACCAGCCTGAAGGATATTCAAAAGGTTTATACATCTTACCTCTCTCCATTCTTTGTTTCCAATGGCTTGTGTGTACAAAACACAGACTGTGAAAAGAAAAATAATAAAAAAAAAGTTGGGTCATTTTCAGCATTTGACATTTTTTAAGTGAACCAATGTTGTAGTGTGTTGTGCTGTTGAAATTAACTAGAACAATAAAATAGTAATTTGTTTTCCCTCAGTGTGTTGTTGCAGCACTGACCTAATAAATAGGGTGGTTCTGAAACGAGAAGCAAAACTCATGCTTGACCTCCAGCAAATCACTTGACAAACATTAGCAGTAAAATGGGATAAAAGCAGCTCTTCATTAAATGTGGATGGTCTGGCTAACCTAGTTAATCTAATGCAAAACTACACCAAATTATGTTTCTTTCAAGAGATGAGAGAATTAAAATAAAACCAAATGAGGACCCTACTGGGAAAAGAGAAAGGGGAAATAAAAGTGGAAAAAAATAAGTTCTCATGTTTTCTTCCTTAATTCTGCTTCAAATTATTCATATATATATTTAATTTTCTTGCATATGCATTGTTAAAAAAACAAAACAAAAACCTAAAAAAACACCACAACTAACACCTAATGAAAAATAGAATTAATTAAGTTTGTTGACGTAGGCTTTTTTGGGAAGACCAAGCAGCATACTCCCACAGGCATCACTCTCTTTACAGATCTGGTTTTCCATTAGAGAACACATTAATCTGCAGCGTCCATCACAGGGACTGGTGATGGAGGTATAGTGATTATAAGCAGGTCTTTTAAATACTATTATAAGCACAAGTAATTTGCACTAAAGTTGTACTATACACTTTTTTTTCCCCCTACAGTCTTGGGCTAGTTGTAGCTGACAACCATAAAACAACTTTTACCTGAAACTCCACTACAGCCCTTTTCTAAGCAACAGAAATACAGATATTTGAACACTTTCCTCCTGACAAAATCTTCTCCTGTGCCCATCATTATTTTTCGACACAAGGTTAAAAATAATACTGTTTTGGGTTGCAGCCTTGAACACTAACAATAGAAGCCTGGTTTTGTTTTCAATAAAATCAGAATCATCAACAGACATGAAATAAAAGCAGAAGTAAAAATGAAAAGCAAAGCAGAAATGAAGTCAAGCTTCAAATTACATTTTCTTCTTACTTGAAAGGTATTTGGTCCACATACAAACGAAAAAAACCCATCCAAACAACAGCAAAAAAATCCCATTAGGTAGTAGCAAAGTAGAATAAAAACCAAGTTCAATATTTTAGCTTACATTCAAGTCAAAAGTTAACACAATCCAAATTTTTCTCAAAGAAGATACTCTTGTACAAGAAAAAAAGTTTACAAAAAAATTCAAAATCATTCTTTTGAAATAGACGTCTGTCTTTCTCCTTTTATTCTAAATGAAACCTTGGACAATAATCCTCTAAGCTTTGGTTCCTGCTTAAAGTAGGATGATTCCAAACCAACAAGCCTATTTCTACAGCACAGTCTGGAGAAGACAGCTGAACTATATTACATGAAGAATGAAACTAAATGAAAAAATGTAAGAAAACAGTGAAATGGAAGCTGTGAAATTAGCTACAGAAGTGTCTGAAGCTTACTGAACTTCTGATTGACCTTTGTACCTAGTAAGATCTGTGTCAAAGTAACCCTGGGAGAAGAAGGAAATGTCAAAGGAAATCCCCACAGATAAAAAACAAGCAAAAAAAAAAAAAAATTCTCTGGAAATACCCTTCCTGCTACAACAGAACCAGCTCTTCCAAGGGTCAGGTGTCCTGTCCTGTCTCTACAGCCATACCTATGGGTCAGAAATATTAACATTTTGTAATTCTTAACTCTCGACACTGATACCACGGTGTCAAACTCAAGATGAATTTAAGGAAATCTTGCAATGAAGAAGAGGGTGGAAGTGTCAACAGTTACCACTCAGTTGTAGATACTTCCCAAAATACTATAGTCTGCACCCTCTTATTTTCCCATATAGTTTGAGCTGCCCTTATCTTGCACTATGGTGTTTTCCTGTTTAATGCAAACATGCTAATCCTTTAGTCTGGCAACTACTGTAACACCCAAACTGCCCTCTTGAGTTTTCCCAAACATAACAATGTATCTACTCCCTTCCAAAGAATTACAAGCCACAACGAGGTTGGTCTTTTCTCCATGCTACCTGAATCTTCCCATGATTCTACAGCCAGTTGTAGCAGGGGCTTCCCATTACTCTTCACTCACCAGCTTCTATACTTTCCAGGCAGAGCTTCCTGAAGATCCCTTTGTCCCAGCTGTCATGAGATTTTCCTTATTGAAACTATCTTCTATGGAGAGAGCCTCCAGGGGAAGAGTTTTTACCTCTCTATTCCTTCATATCAGACTCTTTCTATTAAGATAATCAGGAGTCACAGGACTTCACATTAGGGCATTCTATCCTGACCACAATGCTGCCACCACAGCTGCACAGTGGTTCAGTTTGCCTAGCCATTGCATGGGAAGAAAATAATTTTGCCCAAGTCTCATTAGACAAAGAAACATACCAAATTCATTAATCTGTATCTACTTTGCAAGTCTTATCCCACCTCATGAGGAAAGCACTGCTTTAGCTCATTCTCTCAAAGAGGGGATAAAAAAATTGTCTCAAAAATATTCCTAGAAAAAGAAATGGTCTCCAAAATGGAAGAACAGAATGGCCCTAATGCTGCAGTAAATCAATATATATGAGCTGCATTAAACCAGTATGACTTGCTTTGACGCCACTGAGGAGAAAGCACTGTCAGTAGGACACTTCAGTACTGTTTAAAATACTTCATGAACAGGGCTATCCAAGTCTGTCCCATCTATAGCTAATATCTCTACATTATTTCTGTAACTTGCCTCGAGGGAGGCAAAGTGCCAGCTTTCTTCTGGCATGTATATTCCAGATCGCAGGGAACTGGTCAGAACTGGAATAAATACTGAGCAGCAATTACAGTATCAAAGCACAGCTAAGCAAACCTCCCAAGAGAACTGGAAAAAGCACAAGTTCCTTTTCAATTTCAGAAGACTGTTTATGTTGACAAGGGAGTCAACTATCACAGTATCACAGTATCACAGTATGTTAGAGATTGGAAGGGACCTCAAAAGATCATCTAGTCCAATCCCCCTGCCGGAGCAGGAACACCTAGATAAGGTTACACAGGAACGCGTCCAGGCGGGTCTTGAATGTCTCCAAAGAAGGAGATTCCACAACCTCCCTGGGCAGCCTGTTCCAGTGTTCCGTCACCCTCACTGAGAAGAAGTTTCTTCTCAGGTTTAAGTGGAACCTCTTGTGTTCCAGTTTGTACCCATTACCCCTTGTCCTTTCATTGTTTGCCACTGAGAAGAGCCTGGCTCCATCCTCGTGACACTCCCCCTTTATATATTTATATACACTAATAAGGTCACCGCTCAATCTCCTCTTCTCCAAACTATAGAGACCCAGCTCCCTCAGTCGTTCCTCATAAGGGAGATGCTCCACTCCCTTAATCATCTTAGTTGCCCTGCGCTGGACTCTCTCCAGCAGGTCCCTGTCCTTCTTAAACTGAGGGGCACAGAACTGGACACAATATTCCAGATGAGGTCTCACCAGGGCTGAGTAGAGGGGAAGGAGAACCTCTCTCGACCTACTAACCACCCCCCTTCTAATACACCCCAGGATGCCATTGGCCTTCTTGGCCACAGGGGCACAGTGTCGGCTCATGGTCACCCTGTCGTCCACCAGGACCCCCAGGTCCCTCTCCCCTACACTGCTCTCTAACAGGTCGTTCCCCAACCTATACTGGAACCTGGGGTTGTTCCTGCCCAGATGCAGGACTCTACACTTTCCCTTGTTATATTTCATCAAGTTATTCCCCGCCCAGCTCTCCAGCCTGTCCAGGTCTCGCTGGATGGCAGCACAGCCTTCTGGCGTGTCAGCCACCCCTCCCAGCTTAGTGTCATCAGCAAACTTGCTGATAGTACACTCAATTCCCTCATCTAAATCATTGATGAATATATTAAATAATACTGGTCCCAGTACCGACCCTTGAGGCACTCCACTAGACACAGGCCTCCAACTAGACTCCGCCCCATAGACTACAACTCTCTGGCTTCTCTCCTTCAGCCAGTTCACAGTCCACCTCACTACCCGATCATCCAGACAACTATATTCATGTGTGTCCCTCTCTGAGAAAAAGACCAAGAGGATGAAATCAGATTTTCACTATTAATATTCTCTCTAGATAACTGGAGTTTGAAAAGCATATTAGAATTGGCCTAGTCAAATCCAATGAGACCTCAGCATACAGTGACACTATGTGATTCTATCTTGTACAAGATCTAATGGTTGTTAAATTCAGTGAAGGTATGATGCTGGTTTTGACACCTTTCTTAGCTAACAGGATAAAGTTACTGTGTACAAACCAGTCTAAGAATGGTCTTTATCCATTATCTTTCTACTCAACTAAAGGGCACTAGGAGCAAACAAACTAAACTGGCTAATAAGAAACCCTACAGAATACTAAAACTAAGTGTACACTGTTTGGAGAGTATCAACAACCAAAGCTGTTATGCCAAGTAATTTCTTTAGTGGAAATACAGTATGAGCACTTTCAGAGCCCAGGCTTCTCCCTTTGCCAAGGATAGTATTACTGTATTCCATGTTTCTCTACTGCTAACCTCTACAGATAGGCCTGATTGGCAGCATAAGTGGCTACTCACAACTTGAGACCAGATCTCTAAAGCACCCCAGCAATTTCAGTGCTTTAAATAAGCTATTTACTTGAAACAGGAAAGCAGTGTGTTTTGAACTGACAGGCAAGGTTATGACACTTTAAAAAATATTTCCATATACTCTGAATCCATTAAAAAGCACCACCAGTTTGCTTCTCAGAAATATTTTACAGACAGATATCATGAATTCTTTAGGTTTTCCAGCATTCCTTCCTCAGCATAGGTCAGCCAACCAGCCACAACCACTTGGTTTGCCCACCTGCCCTGTGTTGGGGTGCTCACTGGTCACAGACCCTTCAGAGGTGCACTGACTTTTATATGGAGTGTATCCATTCACGAACACATGGCCAGCAGTGTATCTCTGGAAGTGTGGCTGCAGTAATACCTTCAGCTCTAGCTCACAGCTGCTGAGCTTTTCTTCTCAAATAGGTTTGAGCTGGGGCCCTGTGTGCTCCCCTGGCTGGCAGGAGTTCTGGCAGGCAATTTACTCACATGGTTTTTAGAGCTGAATGGAACCTGCTGTGACAGCACATGGTGGTTCATGGCCTCCTGCCACACAGGTCACACTGCAGTCCCCTGCTACTCAAACTCTGCAATTTATGCCTGACACAGCTATCTGTCTGATAAAAACTTGAAGCACTTCTCCCTAATAATATCTGACCTTAAAAACTAGACATCCTCTTCACTTATGTAAAGGTGCCCTGGATTCAATAAAGAGATCTCTGAATTCTATCAGCAGCAATAGGTTACTGACCACTCTTCAAAACTGCTTAACCTGAACAAGTGAGTTTTTATTAGCCAATTAGAAAACATGTAGTAATATGCAAAACACTCAGAACTGCTTCTGCATGATCTCCCTACAACAGGGGCAAGGTACGGCTAATACCTCCTTTTTAAAAATAAAAGGTATTGTAGGCTAGGAACGTCAAAGGTACGCCTAACTTCATGCAGCTTTTCCACAGAAAGTAGAAGCTTTTCCATCAGAAGTCTATTGTGGAATCTCTCACAAAAACACCTTAGGTTAAAAATAGACAAACACACTCACATGACCTAAGTGTATGCCACCAGCACACATGTCCGGACACCTGACAGAAGTGTATGTATCTCAAGTTATGGCCAATGTCAGTAAGCACAATACATTGTATTCTAAGCAAGAAAACCCCAGGCTTAAAAAAATCCCTCACACATTAAAATAGATATGGGGTGATAACACGACCCATCCTTGGTAGTGTTTAAGGCCAGGTTGGCCTGGGCTTGGAGGAACCTGGTTTAGTGGAAGGTGTCCCTGCCCATGGCAGGGGGCTGGAACTGGATGTTCTTTAAGCTCCCTTCCAACCCAAACCATTCTATGCTATGCTAATACACCATAATCTAAGGACTAGTCATTCAACACTACAGCAGTACTTTGATTAAACACTATCAGAAAAAAAAGGAATTTTTTGGTGGTCTCAGTTCTTTGATAAACGTATCATGAAGTGTCTGTTACAGGAAGGTAGTAATGGATTTTAAATCAAAAGTCCCGTCATATATAAATTCATAGTCATGAGAATTTTTGTCGGATCCAGTCATATATTAACAAAACTTATAGGGAAAGTGGGTATCACTACCTGACATGAAAACATTAAGTCATAAACCATGATATGATTATTGATCTGGTGAGGTCATATTTCTCAGAAACAATTTAACTTAATTTTTCAGCATTTGACTCTAGGATTAGTGGACACTATATGCATTAGCAGCAACAAATGCTTCTAGTTTGTTTAGGAGTTTGCTTGCTAGCTTTGAAAGAGATCTAGAACAAGAGATTTTTTAAAAATACCTTTCTGCATTTATTAATGTTAGGAAAATGTAGATTGACTCCTAAATAAGGAACCATGTAGCTCAAGAAAGCAGCATTGAATATAGACTCTTTAAAATTCCAATTCATATAACAATCCATAAGCGTATCTTAGGTAGGTGTAACTTAATTACTTTAAATAGTTGCCACAAAGACAGTGTAAACCTAACTAAGACTGAAGGAAATCACTCAAGTAACTTTTAACCCAGGGTTTACACATGGGGAAGATGTGATAAAAAGAAATAAATGCTGTATACTTACTTGGATCAGATTTAGAAAACGTATCTCTGTCCAAAAGATTTCTGTTAAATAAAGAGAGATAAAATAATCTTATTTATAAAAAATGGTGGAAGATACAAATCAGACACCAATTCATATATGTTTTTAACAGTTTGATAGTCAGCTTAGTTTTATACCCTTCCAATACATAAGATTTACTAGAAGTCAGTCAGCATTAACACTTTAGTAGTCTTACATTTAATTCTATTATACATTTTGGATTTGAGCAAACTGTGGTTCATACACTCCAATACCATGAAGTGAGAAGCAACAAATAACAAGCATATTAAATATATGTAAGACATCAGGAACAGGAATACCTTAAAATCCCAAATATCTAGCAGAGATGAACTTGTTAGTCGAATCCAAAAACTAGACTTTACTTAAAAGAATGGCTATGAGATCTCAGAGCCATCAGGAAATACCTGTAAGAATCTGCCATGGATGAGTAAGATAAAGAAAATGAAAGCATACACAGAACACACCAAAATTAGGAATTTTCCAAATATCTACAAAGTACCTAGGAATAAGCAGTAAGAACTGATTTCTTTGTTGTGCAGTGTAATGGTCCCGATATTGTAGCCACACTTGAGACAACTGAGAATCATCCACAGATGAGGAGGCTCAAATTAACACTAAGTCTAGAGAACTAGGACTGACCAGAAAACTGTTCTTAGAATAGTTACCAACATTTCATTATTGAAAATTTAAAATAAATAATAATAAAAAGATTATCTGGACAAACTACAAAAATGGTCTGAAAACAGAAAGCCATTGAACAGGGACAAGGCAGGTAGCTGAAGTTAGGTATTAAACTCAATCCACAGCAAAAATGCAGTTTAGCTCCATGTACCTACATACACAGCAGTTATACCAAAAATGGTTCTAGACCAGCAGATCAAAAACTGAATGCAAGACAGGAATCTTGTGCTTTTGGGAAAAAAGGCATACTGGAATACATAAACAAAAAAGTTATAGAGTAATTTTTCTGGTCTTCCTAATACTAGCAAACACTAAATTGAAGCAATAATGTTTTAAGCAAACCAATTTCTTGCAATCTAAGACAGACATGGAGCCACCAGAGTCCAGCAGAAGCAGAAGTAATAAGTCTATAGAATGCATCTATGAAGAAAACATTGATGCAAACTGAAGCTGATCTCCATGCATACAGAGCAAGCAGCAACAGGTTTAACCACAAACTGAATCTTCTCCTCCGCAAGTACAGAAGTTGAACTTTATTCCATTGTTTTACCACCTTTCATTGTTAGAGGTGGCCAGACATGACTTGAAATCTCTACCACTGATGGTCTTTAAGAACATGTTAAGTAGCTACAAGTACTAATAAGTTCTTCGATCCTACCCTGGAGCAAGCAGAAGGATTAGCTAACCAGTTTACATCACTTACAGATTACTATTTTTAGTAATTAGTATAGCTTCTTCAGAGATCACCATTTATTACTCTTACATCTAAATCACATTATTTTTGTGCTGCTGAACACTGCTGAAAAAGTGTATTAATACATATTGTTTGATACAGGTGTTCCAAGTGTTCCACTTCGGCTTCAACAAGGAAAAAATACCGTATTCCCAATTTACATACTGCCAAGTCCACATTTCAGAACAAGCAATATGAATAAAAGATAGCTTTAAAAAAATGTTGGGTGCATCTGTTTTATTTAGCCAGAGTAGGCACTAGAATTAAAATTAGTATTTGTGAATGAACCTGACATCTGCACATGCTACTTCTTCAGAACTTCTCTAACCCATTCAGAAGTGCGATTTTTCCTATATGCATTCTATATTTCATATATGTATTCTACCTCACCCAAAAATATACAAATTGAAATATTAACAAACCCAGGAAAACCATTGATTTCAAGTTTGTCTTTGACAACAACCACTACAAGCTACTTTAAAAGACTGTATAGCAAGTTCTACAATATCAGAACTACCAATCCAAAATGAAAATTGCCTCCTATTCCTCTTTAATTATACATACCTAGATATGCCATTAATTTATGGTAACTAGAATTGGTTTTATAGAAATTCATCTGGGGATAATAAAAGCCTAGACACAGGGTTATAAGAGACAGTACATTAGGTTTTGGGTAAGGCCTCCCATGCTCACTATTAGGATTCCAAGCAATTTAAATTCCTCTCCATAAATACTCTACAATGACCTTATAATTGGTATGTTAGCATTTGTGACTGCAGATTAAGATTAAACCATTTTAATGACTCATACTGAGTTAAGGTGCTTTTAGCTTTTTTTAATATTTCCTACTCTGTTTCTTTTTAAGTTTTCTTCCCCTGTTTTCCCATATACATAAAACCATGACACCTGCCCATACCAGCAGCTCAGCCTATCCCAATGCTCTTATTCCAGAAGTTCCAAAAACTAGCCACTATGGGAACAGAAGGAGAGCAAGGTAATTATCTGTAACACTTCCTGAGATGTTCCTGCTCATCAACGATTAGTTTCTCAAGGAATTCTAGAATTCAGAGTATTTCTACACAGTCAGTATCCCTGGAAGGACTGAAATACCAAAGGTTAACAGTGCAATCCAGGTCAGCAAGTGTTTTGAACTAATGCAGCTTTCAATATCCTCCATTAGACCCTTCACACATTTTACCATAAATAAAAAACATCTTCAGCAAAGTTTGCAGACATGCCTGATCTTCCAGATCATTAATAACCAGACAAAATGGTAATGTAAGAATTTAACAAGCTGTTCAAGCAATGCAGCCAGTTTCATAAGGAATGTAAAGAACAGTGCAAATGGGTGGTGGGGAAGTGTGGTTTGTCCATTAAATCACTTAACAGCTCCGGCAGCTGCTCGGTTTCCTCTATACGTTTTCATTTCACCAGTCAGTCTCACCTCCGCGCCTGGCAAAATCTTGGAGCAGATTCTCCTGGAAGGCATGCTAAGGCACATGAAAAACAACAAGGTGCTTGGTGACAGCCAGCATGGCTTCACTAAGGGGAAATCCTGCCTGACCAATTTGGTGGCCTTCTATGATGGGGTTACAGAACTGACGGACAGCAGTAGAGCAGTTGATGTCATCTACCTGGACTTGTGCAAAGCATTCAACACTGTCCCGCATGACATCCTTGTCTCTAAATTGGAGGGACATCAATTTGGTGGATGGACCACTCAGTGGATAAAGAACTGGCTGGAAGGCTGCACACAAAGAGTTGTGGTCAATAGCTCAATGTCCGGCTGCAGACCAGTAACGAGTGGTGTCCCTCAGGGATCGGTGTTGGGACCGGTCTTGTTCAACATCTTTGACGCAGACATGGACAGTGGGATTGAGTGCGCCCTCAGCAAGTTTGCTGATGACACCAAGCTGTGTGGTTCGGTTGATACGCTGGAGGGAAGGAATGCCATCCAGAGGGACCTTGACACGCTTGTGAGGTGGGCTGATGACAACCTCATGAAGTTTAACCATGCCAAGTGCAAGGTCCTACACCTGGGTTGGAGCAATCCCAGGCACAGCTACAGGTTGGGCTGAGAGGAGATTCAGAGCAGCCCTGCGGAGAAGGACTTGGGGGTGCTGGTCGATGAGAAAATGAACATGAGCTGGCTTCAGTGTGCACTAGCAGCCCAGAAAGCCAACCGTATCCTAGGCTGCATCAAAAGCAGCGTGACCAGCAGGTCAAAGGAGGTGATCCTGCCCCTTTATTCTGCTCTTGTGAGACCTCACTTGGAGTATTGTGTGCAGTTCTGGTGTCCTCAACATAAAACGGACATGGATCTGTTGGAACAAGTGCAGAGGAGGGCCACGAGGATGATCAGGGACTGGAGCACCTCCCATATGAAGATCAGCTGAGAAAGTTGGGGCTGTTCAGCCTGGAGAAGAGAAGGCTGCGTAGAGACCTCATAGCAGCCTTCCAGTATTTTAAGGGGGGCTATAGGGATGCTGGGGATGGACTCTTCATTAGGGACTGTAGTGATAGGACAAGGCGTAACTGGTTGAAACTTAAAACAGGGGAAGTTTAGATTGGATATAAGGAAGAAGTTCTTTACTGTAAGGGTGGTGAGGCACTGGAATAGGTTGCCCAGGGAGGTTGTGAATGCTCCATCTCTGGCGGTGTTCAAGGCCAGGTTGGAGCGAGCCTTGGGTGACATGATTTGGTGGGAGGTGTCCCTGCCCATGGCAGGGGGGTTGGACCCTTAAGGTCCTTTACAACCCTAAGTATTCTGTGATTCTATGATTTTACGGGGCAAACAATCAAAGCGCTCCCTCAAACACACGAAAACTGCAGGGCACGTAAGCAGATGCCAATCTACAACCAAAAAAAATGCTGAAAGCAAAAGAAGACTGGATGTATTTCTGGAACTTCATGTTGTCTTTCTCCCCTCAATAGTCAATGGCACTTCCTGCAGAGGCTGAGTGATACAGGGTGCATTTCTTTCCCTTTTACCCGAGAAAAGCATTCTCTTTGGTAGTACACTATTATGTCTCAGGAAGCAGTCCTAGGAAAGCTCAGAAACTCAGAAACCAGAAATATCCAAAACTTCTATTTCTCCTCCTAATCAGAGAACATGAGGAGTATATTTTTTTCTAGGCACATTCAGCCTTTCAAATAAAGAATGCAAAAGGAAAAGAGGAGGAATTGCTACTGAGTTTGAGGAAGGGGGAAAAAAAAAAAAAAAAGAGAAATATGCTTTTACCTGGAGAAACACACACACATCCAGCATGTACAGCAAAGAAGTCTAGGAACATCTGTGCAGAAAGCAGCATTCTACCAGAACGGATTCTGAAGGAACTCATTCCATACTTGCCCATTCTGGAGTGGACCTTCCAAAATGGTTGCAATAGAACAGATGACTAAGTGAAGAAACAAATAGGAACCACAGCAATAACGCCTACTTGTCTAAACTGGAAAGCACAAGACTGATTACAAATGCTGGGATAAAGGTTTCTGTATCATGAGATAAATTTCTCCAGGAAAAAATTAAAAGTAATCAGTACATAAGAAAAGTTAAAACCTATTTAGCTATGCCAGTTTGTCAAAATA